ATCTTGTCTTTCTTAAAATGCAGTGTTCAGCCCTGAACCTAATATTCCAGATGTGATCTGACCAAGGCAAACCAGGTGTTTTCTGTATACAATGTCTCTCAATGCAGTCAAGGTGGTATAAGCTTTTTGGATGTCATCTCCCTCAGATGACCTATTGAGCTTGTACTGTGACAAAAACCTTCTCTGTAAATTGAGGGGACTGTCATGCTGGCATGCAATTTGGAATTTAAAAACGTCTATAACCTTTGAGATCCCACTGCTAAACCTGTACCCCCGAAAAGGTCAGTGAATGAATGAATTTTGTTTGGTTTGGGGGAGGGGACAATTGGGGTTAAGTGACTTGCCCAGGGTCACACAGTTATAGTAAGTGTCAAGTGTTTGGTCTGAGACCGAATTTGAACTCAGGTCCTCCTGACTTCAAGGCCGTTCCACTATCCACTGCGCCACCTAGCTGCCCCTGAATGAAGTATTTTTTAAGGGCTTACTATGTGCAAAGCACTGGGCTAAGTACTGAGGATACAAATAAAAAAGCAAGAAAGTCCCTGCTCTCAAGGGGCTCACATTCTAATGGGGGGAGACTATACATATGGTAGCTTTCAGCTGCAGGTCAGATGGAAAAAGTTTCATGGTCTTAAATGCAATTTAATTCAATAAACATTTATTAAGAGCCTACAATGTTCTAGACACTGTGCTAAGCACTGGGGATAAAAAAAAAGAGGTGGAAGTCAGTCCCTGCCCTCAAGGAGCTTACAATCTAATGTGAGAGACATGCAAACAAATATAACAAAGCAAACTATATACAGGACAAATGGGAAATAATAAAGAGAGAAGGCAATGGAATTAAGAGGGGTTGGGGAAGGCTTCCCGAAAGGAGGATTTTAGTTGGAACTTAAAGGAAGCCAGGGAAATCACTAGGCACAGTGGAAGAGGGGGAGCATTTCAGATATGAAGGACAGCCAGAGAAAATGCCTAGAGCTGAAAGATGAAGTGTCTTGTTTTTGAAACAGCCTGGAGGCCAGTCACTGGACCAAAGAGTAGGTGTTGGGGACTAAGGCAGGGGTGAAGAACTTGTAGCCTCAAGGCTACATACGGCCTCCCTTAATAAAAGGATTTGTTGGCTGCACCCAAGGACCTAGAAGGCCACATATGGCCTCGAGGCTACAGGTTCCCCACCCCAGCTCCATTGATTATCCCCACCCCTGAATTAAGGTATAAGAACCAGGAAAAGTAGGAGGGGACTAGATTATAAAGGGTTTTGAATGCCAAACATAGCGTTTTGTATTTGCTCCTGGAGGCAATCTGAGGCCTCCCAGGAGTTAATCGAGTAGGGAGGTGACAAGATCAAATTTGAGTTTTAGGAAAATCTTTAGTGGCTGCACGGTCCTTGGGCTGTAGCAGCAAAGCAAAGGGTAAGCCCTCTGCCTTAATGTCATTTCCATTGATCAGATCAGATCAGTTTCTGATGTTGAATCATTTGACAGTGCCAAGGACTTTGGTGAAGAAATCTTTCTTTTCTGGGTTCATAGTAGCTGTGACCAGGCTGCATCTCCATAGGAGTTGCTTTCCAAGATGATGTCTAAGGACACTGGGCTAGAGACATTGGTATTTCCAATGTATCTTGGGTTCAAGAACACAGGGGCTGTCCCCATCTGGATCTAAAGAGAGGTGGTGTTCAAGGTGGTGGCAGTGGTTTGATTTGTCTAGCACATGGTGTGTCTGCCTCAGGATGCCTTGCTGTTTCCTTGATGCTTCCCCAGTGGCAGAAGAAAAGGTCACATATGGGCTAAAATATTCATAGTGGCACTTTTTGTAGTATATTTTGTAGTATCAAGGAACTAGAAACAAGACAGATACCCATTTAGGGAGGAAAAAATAAGCAAACTGCCCGCAAAAACAGCTTTTTTCCCCCTCTTTTTGGATCCCCAACATTTAGCAAAGTGGGTCCTTAACAGGTGCCCATACTTAATAAATATTTATTGAATGACTGTAAGGGGAGGGAAGGGGGGGACCCCACAAAATTGGACACTATGTAGTTATAATGACCAAATATGGCCGTGGGAAAGAGATGAGAAAATGAACCTCCCTCACTTATTTGCAGAGGTGAGGTACAATTGGAGTACAATATTTAATATACTGTTAGACTGGGCTGAAGTGACTTTTAGTTTTTCTGAACTGCTTTTTTCCCTCCTGCTTTATTCTTTGTTATGAGAGACGGCGTATGGATGGTCAGGGGAAAGGGAAATATATATATATTTGTATATATTTATATGTATTAATTGTAGGTTATGTAAAAAGAAAAGATATTAGTGGAAATTAAAAATTTGGAAAAAGGAAATAAAGAATAACCTTTTTTCAATCTCTTTTCTAAATTTATTTTTAGTTTTCAACATTCACTTCCACAAGATTTTGAGTTCCAAATTTCCTCTCCATCTCATCCCTCCCCCCACCCCAAGATTGTATGCATTCTGTATACCCCTTCCCCTAATCTGCTCTCCCTTTTATCTCACCCCCCTTCTCTTATCCCCTTCCTCTCCTATTTTCTTGTAGGGCAGGATAGATTTCTATACCTCATTTCCTGTATTTCTTATTTTCCAGTTGCATGTGAAAACAATTTTTTTTAACATGTGTTTTTAAAACTTTGGGTTCCAAATTTTCTCCCTTCCTACCTCCCCACCCACCCTCATTGAAAACGCAAGCAACTGCATACAGGGAATAACCTTTTTTTTTTAAAATGAGGAATTATAGCTGGGCATAGTGTCACATACCCATAGTTCCTGCTGCTGGGGAGGCTGAAGCTGGTGGACCACCTGAGTTCCAGTTTTAAGCTGCATTAGGGTCATGTCCAGCATCAACATGGTGAACCCTCAGAGGAAAGAACCACCAGGCTAAGGAGTGGCAAGCCCTCCCATTTCAGAACTTAAAGCTTCTATGCCAATTAGTGGTAAGGACTGGGCCTGTGAGTGGCCACTGGACTTCCAGCCTAGGCTAGATAGGAATATTTGGGGTCAAAACAAAAACAAAAAATAAATAGAATGAGAAATTTCACTCAGTGATGCCTTATAGATTCCATCCAGGTCTAAATCTTCAATTCTGTGATCTCATGTTTTTCTCTTGATTGAGATTAAAACCAATAAGGGGTAGAATGAGATCTATCTATACTTTGGGGGTAGGGCCAACCCAGGAATTTGTTTTGTTTGACTATTAGTATTTGTTACAAGGGTTGGTTTTTTTTTTTCTCCTAATGGCTGAAAAGAGGTTGGGAGGAGAGAAAATAAACTTTGGTTAATTAAAAAACAATTTTTAAAAAAGCTCTAATTAAATTCAGTATTACAGTTTAGAGGAAAACAGTCTGAGATTGGAGAAAGGACACATTTAGTATCAGTAGATGAGGGTGAGGGGTGAACAAAATGTCCATTCCGATGATGTAACATTGTTTAAGGAAGCTAGGGAACAAGATCATTACCTAGATTTTCAGGCTAATACTAATGGTAGTGGGGCTGGAGTGGGGCACTGGGGGAGGTGGAAACATTTCAGATCCTGTGATCCCATCACTCATCACCCTGTCTGTTTCCCTCTGTATCTGCCTCAGCCTCTAGTGACACAGTGACACTGGGGGAAAGAAGGATCCTTAAGGAGAAAAGTAGGGGCAGAGAAGGTATAGAGAGAAGAACCTAGAGGCTTTGTTCTAAGAGGAGGACTGACTGGTGTCTTACAGAAGCTAGCTCTGGGCAGGTTTAGGGGAAAAAAGGGGGAGGGAATTACCCATGGGTGTCCTTGCTGAGGGATAGGTGAACCACGTGCAAAGACAAAAGCTGCCTCAATGAGAGGGTGTGGACAGCACTGGGAGATAAGCAGAAATCTAGGAATTAAAATTGGTCTAGGACTGTGGGTGGGAGGACAGGAGAGGCCCTCCAGAGTTTAGGAATCTCAGGAGCCTAGGTGGACCACCCTGATCCAGTAGGAGGTGGGGGGGGGCAGGGGCAGAGGTTAGAACCGTCCCTAAGGGGCAGGTCTTTCATCCAGCATCTTGCACTGGCCGTCCTACTTCCTTCACCCACCAATCAAAAGAAACACTACCAACTAGCCCCACAAAGTGGGGAGGGCTCAAAGGTATCACAGATTTCTAGCATCTACCATAGGAACTCTTTGGGGCATTGTGAAATCATCTAATCTCCCCCTCCTCAGGCCTTCTTTACTACTTCCCTGAAGCCTAAGGCACTCATACAAAATATTTCTGCCCTTCCTTGAAAACCTCAAAAGAGTCTTTTGTCCAGTAACATTCTTATTCCCTGCCTAGGAGGAGGCTGCTAAGTAGGAGACTTAAGATATAGAGTCCCTAAGGGTTTGAAACTAGAGGGTTGGAACACTGAGGTTATCTAAAGGAGTAGGAGCAGGGACACCAGGTCCCCTGAGGGCAGAGGGGCCTGGGATGCCTGAGTCTGCATACTGTTCCTGCTCTGGACCAGCACAGGCTAGTTCCTTGTTTAATGGAGTGGAGACGTCTAGGAATGCAACTAGGCGACCTAGGAGGAGGGAACAAAAAGTAGGTGCTTCCTTTCTCTCTCTTTTTCCCCACCCCTTTTTCTCCATCACCCTCTCACACCCTCTGCTATCCTCCTAGTATAGTTTAAAAAAAAAAAAAGTAACAAGAAACTGCTTAGATGGACAGAATCTTAGCAGTTGAAGGGGACTTTGCAGGTCACCCAGTCCAACCCATACCTGAACCGGAATTCAGTGTACAACATCTCCAACGAGTCGGTCAGCCTCTGCTGGAAGACTTCCAGTGACAGAAAATTCTCTACCCATCTTGAGGATATGGTCTTATCTTGGATTCTAAGGCTCTTTCCCTCCTTTCCCACAAAAAAAAAACATAGAATGGAGCCTGAGTCCCAGAAGGTTAGAGGAGCCCACCTTCCAGGTGTAGGAGGGATGGAGCAGAGTGAGGGAAGGGTCATAGCATCACAGAACTTTAGAGCTAGAAGAGATCATAGAGATGGTCATTTAGCACACCACCTTTTTTATTTTTTTTTTAAACTGATGACTTCCCTGAGGTCATACAGGTAGTAAACAGTAGAGTTGGGATTTAATTCAGGATCTCTGACTCAAAGTACTATGTTCTTTTTTCACCATTCATGTTGGGGCCCTTGGGTTGGAGGATGGGGAAGGAGAGACAGGTGGTGTCCGATGAGTTGCAAGCAGAAGGAGGTAATTTAAGGAGCTCTTTTCAAGGAAGTTTAATGAGGTGTGTTAGTACTGTTGTTCAGGCTCCGTGGACAGCTGTGAGTCCAGATGTTCTTGCTTCGGCTCAGAGCCTGATCCACGTCCAGCTCCTTGCCCTGGACCCGAAGCCCATCCAGACAGAAAGAGACAGAAGAGGCCTCTCCTGGATGAGGATGGAGGTGGGATGTCGAAACTTCTACCCCCTTGCCTATTCTGTTTCCAGATGTACTCTCCACCTTTTCTCCCATATTATCCTGTAAGTACCTAAATAGTCTCTCTTCCTGTGGCCTTCTCCCCTTTTCCCCATACAGGTACCCCAACCCTCAGAATTTGTATTTTAAATATTCATGTTCTTCTTTTTTCTTTTTTTTTTTTTTAAGGCAACTGGGGTTAAGTGACTTGCCCAGGGTCACAGCTAGTAAGTGTCAAGTGTTTGGTCTGAGGTTGGATTTGAACTCAGGTCCTCTTGACTTCAGGGCTGGTGCTCTATCCACTGTGCCATCTAGCTGCCCCCATGTTCTTCTAAGTTCCGAAGATGTTTCCCATGGTCCTCATCATTGTTTCTCTTCTGCTTCCAGATAGACAAATTTTTCAGTGCCCAGGTATGTATGTATAGGGGGCAGAGAGAGTAGAAGGAAATTAGGAAAGTTTCCCCTGTACCTGGTGCCACTCCCAGGATGAGGTTCCCCTTAGGTTGGGTCCAGAGGTCTAGAAGGGAGATTAGGAGTACAGGGGGCACAATAAGTGCCACTTCCTGTGGCCCCTGACTCAGTGTTACCCTGGTCAAGCCCAGCTCAAGTTGAAGCAGACGCCCTGGGCTCAGAGGCAATGACTTAGAAAGCACCTCCAGTTCCAGTGGTAACCTAGCAGAAAGCACCAAAATCTGATAGAGAGAAAGACAGAGACAAAGACAGAGAAGAAAGTGAAAGGAGAGAGAAAAGAGAGAGTCACACCTTTTTCCAGTGGGCCACATCCACTGTCCAAATACTACCCTTCATGTCCTTCCCCCCACCCCTGCTCCTCTGCCATCCAAGCCATATCCACTCCCTGGGTGCAGGCTTAGAAAGATGTGTTCTATAGTTTCCTAATTATAGAATTGTAAAATTTCAGAAGTAGAAGGAACCTTAAGTGATTATCTTATCCAAACCCTGATATTATGGAAGAGGAAACTAAGGTTCAGGGATGGAAAATTACTTGCCCGAAGCCATACAGGAAATTAGTGGCAGAGATAGTACTAGTAGCTACATCTCTTTTGGGGGGGGGGGTAAGGTAATTGGGGTTAAGTGACTTGCCCAGAGTCACACAGCAAGTGAGTGTTATATGTCAAGTGAGTGTTATGTGTCTGAGGCCACATTTGAACTCAGGTCCTCCTGACTCTAGGGCCCGTACTCTATCATCTTCAAAATCTACAGGCCTCAAGCTACATCTCTTTACTCCCAGTTCTAAGAACTTTTCACAATATGACACTGCCTGGTGACCCCACCCACTCCTCAGGCCCTGCCCTGAGGCCTTATCTCTCTCACTTGGTCTTGAAGGTCAAGGCTGAGCAGGGATTGATTGGCCAGGATACCGAGGGTAAGGAGGCATCCTGAGCCCCTGAAAAACTGAAGTCGGAGCTCCAAGGAGAAGGCCCAGGGGTCCACATCTGGCTGGGGGAGGTCTGGAGAAAGAAATGAAAAGGTTGAGACTGTAAGAGCAAGGGCATAGGGTTATGCTGGGAGAAAGAAAGAGAGGGGAGGGGAGAGAAAGTAAGAGAAACAGGTAAATGACTGAATAAAAACAAGAGAGGAAAAAGTAAGTGAAATGATGCATATAGAAGGCTATGGAGAAATAGATCTAGAGACTTTATGAGGTGAATTTACCTTGCAGGCTGAACACTGTGTGGGCACCTGGGGGTAAGAAGGTTCCTGGCTGGGCCTCAGGGTTGCAAGCCCCCTGAGGAGGGTGGCTGAAGGGTGCAGTGTTGCCAGGCTGATTCAGCCAGATGTCTCTTCGGAGACAACCATCCAGGGCAGGAATCAGCTGAGAGGTGGAGGTGTGGATTCACCTTGGGGTCCTGGAAATAGGCATGTGTCCCCCCTCCAGGCTATGGGTCTCCCCAGTTTTTCATCCCCTCACAGACAAATACATTATCTATAAGGGGATGGTCCTCTCAATACCCCCAATCTCCATTTCTATGTCCCCTCCACCTAATTTCCCTCTTTAAGAATTCAAGTATTCCACCTCCGAGGTAATGCCCCTCTAAACCTCCCAGAGGATGCTCCTCTATTACCAGGAGACGAAGGTCAGTGAGGGGGAAGAGCAAGCCCCCCACAGCAATCCTCATTGTGGGGAGAGCAGTCCCGGCCAGGGGCCTAGAGACTTGGCTCAGCCTCAGCACCTCATCACCATCCACCTCCAGGATCACAGAATCCTCCTGATTCTTGAGTTTCAGCTGGATGGAAAAGATAGAAGGGGGCATTAGAGCTGTGCATCACAGCCTTACACATGCACACGTATTCTCTCCCTCCCCCAGGTACTTGGAATCTACTCCTCATCCCTCATTTATACTCATTCATGTATTTACTCAACACTTCATTCATTCATAAAAACATTCACCTGGTGCCAGCATCCATCATCTAGCCGGGGCCCAGCTCACTATGGGAGCTGGGCCCAAAAGTTGTGGAGCTGTATCTCAAGTCGGCCACCCCGAAGTACTAGCATAAACCAGTCATCTTTGGGATTTGTATCCCCATAAAAAATCACTCCTTCTGGGTCCCAGGTCCGAAGGTCAAAGGAGGAGATGGCTCTGAAGGTAGGCAGGAGCTGTTGAACTATATTTGTGTATGTGTAGAAATGTGTGTGTGAGGGGCAGATTGCAGAGTAGAGAGAGAGGGTTCAAAATGAGAAAAAGAGTGGGTGAAGTAGAGAAGGGGGAAGGGAGAGGGAGAGGCCAGGTAGAGAAAAAGACAGGATTTATGAAGAGGAGGGAAGTGGGAGTTCAAGATTCCTCATTTACCTAGTGACCTTGGTGAGGTCAAAAGTCATGATGGTGATAGGCTCTAGCCCAGTACCACTACCAAGGTGGAGAACAGCAGGATCCCTGGAGATCTGTGGAGGAAGAGCCAGGAAAGGGCAGGAGCTGTTTCCATTCTGCCTTTGTGCACCCAGGCCCTGGGCTGGGGCTTACAAAGGAGCATATGCTTCACCACCAATGTTTGTAGATTGATAAGGAAAAATAATATCAGAGAGAGAAACACATGCAGAACTCCAGAATTCTTATCTTCCTGCCCTATACCACCCAGCCACTCCAGCCCCCACCGGACCCTGCCTCCCACTTAACCCTACCCTCACCCAAATCCTGCACCTTTGTGGGAAGAGGAGGTTGAGAGGCCAGTCCCTCCCAGGTCTCAGGTGGCCACAACAACAGCAGCATTAGAGTCAGTGAGCACAGACCCTCCATTGTGGGGCAGCTCTCTGCTCCGTGATTCTGAGAACTCTGGGGAGTCAGCTGAGAGGCGGGCACCCTTGCTGGGCATGGGATGTAGTGGGTTAAAGGTTGCCCTGGGGGGAAGGAGGGAGGGTAGGAAACAGGGGCACTGACCTTCTGGCCCGTCTGAGCACAAGGGAGGTGAGGGACAAGTCATGGGGCCCTCTTCCTAGATTCCCCATCTCTCTTAAACTTTTATTAAGTGCCTACTATGTGCAATGCAATATACTAAGTGATAGGAATCCCAACATAAAACAAAAACAAAAAACCAGGTCACCCCAATCCCTTTGACAAGTCCCATTTGGAACTCAGTCCAAACTGTCCACTACAGTAGTTCCCCCTCCCTTTCTAATCTAAGAAGGAAATCTGCCTTTAGGCTCATCTTCCTTTAAGTTAACCCTTTGTATTTTGGATCTACCTTCCTTAACCCTCCAAACTCCATCAGATTGCACCTTGTCCCTGGTTGGGCTGGAATTATTCCACTGTAACCTTCATAAGAATTTAGGGTTTAGAGCTAAAAAAAGGGACTTTAGAGATTATGTAATACAATTTTAAACTATGACTCTCCCCCAATATTTTATAGATCAGGAAACTGAGGCCCAGAGAGGGAAAGTAACTTGCCAGAGGCTCTAGTTAGACTCAGATATGGTTACTTGTCTCTAAAACCAGTACTCTTGCTACCACAACATGCTCCTTCCTCTGTATCTTCCCATAGTGTCTACAGGACCTACTTCCATGCCTCAGTGCCTGAAATCCTGCAAGCACAGCTTCATGGCCTTGCTCTTGCCAAGGAATACACTTTTAAAATTTAAAGACTAGGGCAGCTAGGTGGTGCCTTGGATAGAGCACTGGCTTTGAAGTCAGGAGGACCTGAGTTCATAATCCAGCCTCAGACCAAACACTTGATACTTACTAGCTTTGTAACCCTGGGCAAGTCACTTAACCCCAACTGCCAAAAAAAAAAAAAAAAAAAAGACTCTGGGGTTGATTAATGAAGTCACTAATATTTTAAAATGAATGTCTTTATCTTTCAGGTTTGTCTCAGGGGCAGGCAGAACTTGGTGGGACCGCATTATAGACAGAGCTATATTATCAAATTATAGATTGAACTAGAAGGAAACTTTGAGATCAAGGTATCCAGTTCCCACATTTCATGGATCAGGAAACTGAGATCTAGAAGTATATATGGAGGAGTAGTAGACAAAAACTAAGTAACTTTCTCAAGGTCACAAAGTAAATGATACATTTAGGATTTGACCGAAAAGAGGAAAAGGCACAACAAAAGTGAGGATTGAGAAACCTTTGCTTATTGCTTTATACGTGTAGTTCATTGGGTCATGAGGCATCTCACTGAAAGAGAGGCCAAGAGGTTTAATGTGGAGGACATCTCTCTTGGGGACTCAGTTTTCAGCTCTGTAAAATTAGGGGGTTGGGTGATGTCTTAAGACCCTTCTAGCTCTGATAGCAGGAGCCTGTCCTCAGACCCAGCCAAAAGACAGGCAAGCTATCTACCTTCAGTAGGTAGGACTTAGTGTGGGGAGAGGGGGCCCATACACCCCTCAAAGCATTCTATTAGGTTAGCTGGCACTTACTGCCTGCAAAGAGAGGGAAGAAGAGGAAGAAGGGAGGGAGGCAGCCTTTGAGGAAGGGGAGTGGTTTTATGGGGAACCTGTGGTAGCTACTCTGCCCTCTCCCCACCTCCTTTCTCCCCTAAGCCCCAGTTTCTAGTTTGTCTCCAGGTCCTAGGCTTCCAATTGCTTTCCATGCCTTTTGGGGACTCAGAGGGTCTGAAGCCCCCGTTTCAGGGAGTCCTTAACTTGAGGTCCCAGAATATAGATAGATTTCAGGGGTCACTCCGCCAATGGACAAGCATGTATTTATTTGTTTGTTTGTTTGTTTGTTTATTTATTTTCTGAGGCAATTGGGCTTAAGTAACTTGCCCAGGGTCACACAGCTAGTAAGTGTCAAGTGTTTGAGGCCACATTTGAACTCAGGTCCTCCTGACTCCAAGGCCAGAACTCTATCCACCACACCACCTCGCTGCATTTATTAAGTGCCTACTATGTGTCAGGCACTGTGCTAAGTGCTTAACAATTATTCCATTTGATCCTCATAACAGTCCTGGGAGCTATATTATCCCTATTTTACTGATTAGGAAACTGAGGCACAGAGGTTAAGTTACTTGCTAGTTACTAGTTAAGGTGCTAGTTAAGTTACAGCTAGTAAATGTCTGAGTCCGAATTTGAACATAGATCTTCCTTTCTTCAGGACCAGTACTCTATTCACCGCAGAAAGTGGGATGTTAGCTGAGACTTGGGGATGGGAATTCATTAATTTTTAATAGTTTGATAATTGCATATCAGTATCATTGGTTTCCTTTGTAATCCCGTGAATGTCATTTCGTGCATTTAAAAAGACTGTTCAGAGAAGGGGCCCATAGCTTCTCCAGGCTGCCAGGGGGTCCAGGACACTGAAAAGGTCAGGCGCCCTGACTTTAAGCAGTCCCACTGTCCTCTCGGAGCGCCCGAGGGAGGTGCGGCCGGACTTGTCCTTCCGGCCGAGAGGAGGAGCCGCGGCACTCGTAGGCTGCAGCTGGACAGCGATGGCGGTAGCGCTGCAGATCCGGGAAGCCAAGGAGGCAGACTGTGGGGACATCATGAAGATGATTCGGGTGAAAGCTACGGGGAGGCCAGGATGGGGGCTGAGGCCTGGGTCCCTAGGGGAGGGAAGGAGAGAGGGGTGGATTCGGGGTAAGCATGGATTCCTGGGGTCCAGGAGGGAAGGAGGGAAGTGGGAGCAGCTCAGACTGCCAGCACCTCCTATGGTCCCCTAGAGTCAAGACAATTCAACAAGTGCTTAAAAAGAAACCAAAACCAAACTTTAACCTGGGGCATTGAATTCCAGGGGTTCAAGTCCTGAATATATTTTTCATTTTATTTTTCAATAAAACCAATTAAGTATTAACATGAGTAATAATAACAATAACTAACATTTGTATAGAGCTTACTATGTGCCAGATACTTTACAAATATTATTTCATTTGCTCCTCATAACAACCTTAGAGGTAGGTACCATTATCCCTATTTTACAGGTCAGGAAACTGAAGCAAACAGGGTTAAGTGACTTTTTCGGGGGTCACACTGCTAACAAGTGTCTGAGGTCACATTTGAATTCAGGTGTTCCTCACTTCAGGTGTGGCACCAAAGTATTTGTTTTCATTATCCCCTTTCCTCCATGTCCCTCCTCCACCGTTTAAACAAAAACAAAACCTTTGTAACTAATGTGTAACCTTTGTGACTAAATCGAGCAAAACAAATCCCTGTGTTGTCTGTGTCCAAAAATATCTCATTGTTCCCCAAGTACCTACTATGTGCAATATGCTAAATGTGGCTGCTACCAAAGCAAATGGGGAAAAAAAGTCCCGGGTCTCAAGAAGCTTACTTTGTACTTCAGCCATGATGACTCTTCTGATCTCGTAATTCGGGTCTCATATATTGTCCCTTTTCCTTCTATGTATTCACAGGAATTAGCAGAATTTGAGAAACTCTCAGATCAAGTGAAGATCAGCGAAGGAGGTGGGACTCTGAGGCTTGAGACCCTGAAGGGGGGTGAGGGGAGTTGATAGGCCTTTGAGACAAGGAACCTTGGATCCCTCCTTTATTTTCCCCTAGTCACCCAATGGGTAAATCATTTTTTTCGGCCTCCAAATATCTCTTATCTCTCTCTGCAGTCCTGAAAACTGATGGCTTTGGTGAAAATCCCTTTTATCACTGTCTGGTGGCTGAGTTTCCTCCAGAGCACAGGGATCCCCTGGGTAAGAGCTGTTATAGTAACAGATGCTCTGAGAGGCATCTTGGAGCTGTGGAGTCATGACGTCCTGTCTCTGACCCGGTCTATCTTTGTCTGGCAGAGTCACTTAAGTCTTAGGGCTCCAGGCACCTCTAAGACTATAAATTTCAAAATAGTAGCCAATCTGCATGAGTAGGAGTTTCTTCCCCTGTCCCCTTCCCCCAAAAAGATAATAGCTAGTATTTATATAATGCTTATGGCTTGCGAACTGTTTTATGAAAGTCATTACATTATTATCTCTATTTTACATGAGGAACACTGGCAGAGTCAGGATTCACACTAAAGTTTTCCAAGTTCAAAACTATCACTCCATTTATTACTGCACATACAGCTTTGGGCACTCATATGTTGAGTGTTGGGCACACACATACAGACACACACACTTTCCTTTCCTTTTTTCTGACTCCTTACTAGTACTGTATCCGGAGGGATAGAGAGGCTTCTGGCTCTCCTAGCCTCCCAATGATCTCTCCCCTCTTGCCCTCTCAGGTTCCACTCTTGCGGGCTATGGACTCTACTATTTCACCTATAGCACGTGGACAGGACGAAATGTGTACCTGGAAGATATCTATGTGAGGCCGAAATATCAGGGTACAAGCTTGAATTACAGGCATTCCATTACCTTCCAAACATGAAGTTTTTCCCCTTTTGTTATCATTGTCCCTTCTGGCTAGGTGTCTATCCTCCTGTAGCTAGGTGTCTATATCCCTCTCCCATTAATGCTTTTCTCCTCATAATAGGTCAGGGGATTGGTTCCAAGATTATCAAGAAAGTGGCTGAGGTGAGGAAGTCTATCTATGGATGGTTTGGGGGGGGGTTAGTTGCTTCTATTTCTGGGCATAAGGGGTACTGGGGAGGTGAGAGGGGGGTCTGAGAACTGGATATCTGGGCCCTTCTCCTTCTAACCACTTGTTATACATGGGGGGACCATCCTGCAGGCTGCCCTAGAGAGAGGCTGCTCCCAGTTACGTTTCGCTGTCCTCGACAACAACAAAAGTGCCATCGACTTCTACAAGGCCAGGGGGGCCAAAGACCTCACTGTAGCAGAAGGCTGGCATTTCTTTCATTTTGACAATGAAGCCTTGAGAGAGATGGTGAGAATGTGAGATGTCCTGGCTCCTTTAGAATCCAGGTGTTTCCTTTAGATCTCCTTTTCCCCTCAGCTCTTATTAATAATACCCTCAGGTAAACTGGAGTCCTTCCTATGGTCACCTACTTCAAGGGAGGGAAAAATGGTTGGGAGTTTAAAATATCCTAAAGTAATAAAATAAAATATCACAAAAGGAAGAAATGTTTCTCCCTCCCCATTCAGAGGTAACAATACTTGAGAGTCACTGGGCCCGTGTCTATAATAACATTCGTTATGGTGAAAGTTGCTGAAGAGGAAGGGTCTTCTAGTATATGGTATGAGAAGTGGAAGGTGGGGGGGGAGTGGACAGGAGGGAAGTTGGTATGAGTTAATTTAGACAGAGACTTGCTTGGGCCAATTAGCATTATTCTGCTTATAGTGAAATATCCTCCCTAATGAAATTTTAGGGGAAAAGGAAAACTTGCAGATTTTTTTTGGGAAAAAAAAAAGACCTGAGACACTGGAAGGCCTGGCCTATAAATTCAATATTTATTGCTCCTCTGTGTTCAGCATTGGGGATAAAAGGATGATTTTTAAAGTTTAAAATAAGTATTGAAGAAAAGGAGTTGTAAGGAAGGAAACTGTCAATCAGTCAAAAAAGCACTTATTGGGCACTTTTTATATGCCAGGCACTATGCAAAGGCCAAAGCTACAAAGACAAAAAAATGGAACAGTCCCTGTCCTTGTGGAGCTTACATTCGATTGCAGGCAGGCAGGAGTATATATTATTTGTGAACAAAATAAATACTCAAAATCTGTCTTTATCTCCCCTGTTTGAATGTAAACTCATTAAACCTAGAATTATCTATCTGAAAATAATGACCAAAAAAAAGGGCTGGATACCATATTTCAAGAAATTAAAAATAAAAATTGCCCAGAATTCTTAGAAACAGAAGGCAGTCAAACTAGAAAGAACATACTAGTCACCTCCTGAAAGAAACCCCAAAATTAAAGTACCCACTGTTGAGGTTTAGGGGTGCTTGAACTCCAAAATATTGATGCAAGTCCTACCTCAAATGAATTCAACTCAGGCCTTCTTTCAGCCAAAGACAAGGTTTATTAGAACACCATTCAGGGGTAAGTGAGATTTTAAGAATCCACGCTATTAGCCAGATTTTAAGAATCAGCAATTTAATGGGGTTAAGATGGACCTTATATACAGAAAGACTGTGGGAGGATCTAGGAGTGGCCTGTAGGCTGGGGTGACTGTGAGGTAACAGAGAAGGACATGGCCCAGGGAGAATAGAGTCTAGATAGAATTAAGGGTGAGGTAACAGACAATGAAGGGCTGGGCTAGGTTAGAGGTAACAGAATTGGGAGATTGGGTTTAGCCATAATGAAAGGTCAGTTGGGTGGATTACTGGAATGGGTTAATGCCTCAGGCGAACACCAGAGACTTGACCATGTGGGAAAAGGAGAAAACTCAAGAAGAGTTAAAGGAGGGATGGGAGGGTTTCTCAAGGCTCATATTCCATCACCAGGAATGTCATAGTCAGAAGCCAAAGCTTCCGTGTCATAAGAAAAATACAAGTATACAAAAAGAGTTCAAGTACCAAGGAGACACAGCAGGGATCACACAAAATTTGCCAACTACCATCATAAAGGAAGGGGGAGCTTGGAATCCAGTATTACAAAAAGCAAAATATAAAGACATAAAACCAAGAATAACCTATCTAGAAAAACTACAGAGGAAAATGTTAGTGATAGGGGCAAGCAAGGCACTCACTGTCACATAACAAATGAAAATGAGTGGGAAGGAGTAGGGATAACTGGCATCCCATAAATCTCGCTTTCATCTGAACTGAACAAAAGAAGATCAGACACAATTACATTTACATTTAAAGACCAAATAATAGAAACAAAGGGAAGGCAGGAATAAGGGAGGGAGAGATCTGGGTAAAAGGGTAAGGATAGGTGGGTAAGGGAATAGTAATAAACAAAACAAACTCCAGTGTTGGAGAAAGGAACCTCAAGGGGAGATTAAAAAGAAGGGAAGAAAATGTAAAATCTTGCCATCAAGGAAGAGAAGAGGGGCAACAGAATGGAAACAGGCCACTTTGTTTCTAGATCATGTGACATAACAAACTCCTTGCCTTTTATTTGTAAAAGGGAGAGGGGGCAGGGAGGAGTAAAGAGAAGGAAAAATACAGGAGGAGAAGATGGAAGGAAATTTCACAATTAACAATCATAACTGTTACCATGAATAGGAAGAATCCTTAAGATGCAAGAGGATAGCAGAATGAATTAGAAACAATCCAATGATACGTTGTTTACAAGAAACACACTTGACTCTGTCCCCCTAGGTTTGGAGCCTAGGTGTCGGACTTGGATCCTCACTCTTTCCTCTCCCCACCCCCATTGTCAATCTTCGGGCTAGGCCTGTTGATTTCACCTTTGTACCATCTCTCAAATATACCTTCTCTCCTCTGATATTGCACCACCCTGGTGCAGGCCTCTATCTCCACATACCTGGACTATTGTAAGAGCTTACTGGTTGGTCTGCCTGCCACTTCTCTCCTCACTCTAGTACATCTTCCATTCAGCTGTCAAAGTGATCTAATTAAAGCACTGTCCCCTACTCAGATTCCTGTGGCTTCCTATCACTTCCAGAATAAAATATAAATCCTCTTTCTCATTCAAAGCCCTTCTTAACCTAGCTCCCTTCTCCCCAACCTTTCCTGTTTTCTTTCACTTTCACCTTTGTTTTTCCTCTAACAAGACACACCAGCTCTCAATTCCAGGCATTTTCACTGATTATCCCCCAGGCAAAGAATGCCCTTCTTCCTCCTGGATTCCCTGGCTTCCTCAGAGTTCCAGCCAAAATCCTGTCTTTAGTATGAAACTTTTCTCAATTCCTCTTAATTCTGTCTTCCCTGTATTGATTATTTCCTGGGTATCTTGCCATAGTTGTACATAGTTGTTTGCATGTTGTCTTTGTGAGTTCCTTGAGGACAAGGGCTGTCTTTTGCCTTTCTTTGTATCCCCAGCACATAGCACAATGCCTAGCCCATAGTAGGAATGTGATAAATGCTTATTGACTCACTGATCAACATAGAGTTAAAATGAGGGGCTAGAACAAAATCTATTTTGCCTCAGCTGAACTTAAAAAAGCAAGTGTAACAAGATTTCAGATAAGGCTATGTAGAAAGATAAATATGATCAAAAAAATATAAGCAAGAAATTACATTATGGCTAAAGGACCCATAGAAAAGAAATCAAAATTAATTAATATGCATACACCAAATAGCGTAGCATCTAAATATTTAAAGAAAAAACAGCTAATCAAATTGGAGGGAGAAAGATAGCAAAACTATGATAGTAGGGGACCTCAGGGTGCCCCTTTTAGACCTCAGCAAATATAAGCAAATAGGAAGTTAAGGACTTAAACAGAAGTTTAGAAAAATCAGAGACAATAGATCTCTGGTGAATACTGAATGGGAATAGAAAGGAATTACATATTTCTCAGCTGTACTTGGCACCTTTACTGCAGTATCAGAGCATAAAGACCTCACTAAAAATGTAGAGAAGTAGAAACACTAAACAAATCATATATTGATCACAATGCAATGAAAATTATATCAATAAAGGGTCTCTGAGAAAAGAATTAAAAAGTAATTAAAGATTAAACAATAATTCTAAAGAACTGCTGGGTCAAAAAATTATAGAAACAACAAAATTTCAACAAAAAAAATTACAATAATGAGAGATTTAGCTAAAGCAGTTCTGAGGAAAAAATGTATACTTAAAATGCTTTCATCATTAGAAAAAGAAAATAAATCACTGAGTTGGGCAATCAACTTTAAAAAAAAATACAAATCAAAACCTAGACAACATGGTAAAATTTCTGAAAATTAATAATAAAATAAAAAAATTGATAAATCTAGGCATTGTTTAAAAAACTAATAAACAATACACTTAGAGAATCCTAGAAAATCAAGTAAAAAACTACGTGAAATAATAAACAACTTTATCAAAGTTGCAGTTTATAAAATAAACCCACATAAATCATCAGCATTTCTATATATTACCAACAAAGCCCAACAGCAAGATATAGGAAGAGAAATTCCATTTAAAGTTACAGTAGACATCATAAAATATTTCGAAGTCAACCTACCAAAACAAACCCAGGAACTTTATGAACACAATTATAAAACACTTTTCACACAAAGTCAGATCTAAATAATTGGAAAGACATCAGTTGCTCATGAGTAGGCTGAGCTAATATAATAAAAATGACAATTCTACTTAAGCTAATTTACTTACTCAGTGCCATACCAATCAAACTACCAAAAAATTATTTTATAGAGCTAGAAAAAACTAATAACAAGATTCATTTGGAATAACAAAAGGTCCAGAATATCAAGGGAACTAATGAAAAGAAATGCAGGGCAAGGTGGCCTAGCCATTCCAGATCTTAAATTGTATTATAAAGCAGCAATCATCAAAACTGCTTGGTACTGACTAAGAAATAGAGTAGTGGATCAGTGGAATAGGTTAGGTATGCAAGACACAACAGTCAATGACTATACTAATCTACTATTTGATAAACCCAAAGACCCCAGCTTCTGGGATAAGAACTCACTCTGATAAAAACTGCAGGGAAAACTGGAAAAGAGTATGGCACAAACTAGGCATAGATCAAAATCTCACACCATATACCAAAATAAAGTCAAAATGGGTTCTTGATTTAGATATAAAGGCTGATACTGTAAGCAAATTGGGAGAGCAAGGAATAGTTTACCTATCATATTTATGGAGAACAGAAGAATTCATGACCAAACAGGAGATAGAGAACATTATAAAAAGCAAAATAGATAACTTTGATTACATTAAATTGAAAAGTTTTTGCACAAACAAAGCCAATACAACCAAGATTAGAAGGAAAGTAGAAAATTGGGAATTTTTACAACCAGTGTCTCTGATAAGGGACTCGTTTCTAAAATATATAGAGAATTAAGTCAAATTTATAAGAATACATGTCATTCCCCAGTTGAGAACTGGTCAAAGGATATGAACAGGCAGTTCTCAGATGAAGAAATTAAAGCCATCTATAGTCATATGAAAAAATGCTCTAAATCATTATTGATTAAAGAAATGCAAATCAAAACAACTCTGAGGTACCACATCACACCTATCAGATTGGCCAATATGACAAAACAGGAAAATGATAAATGTTGG